TGCTTGTTCAGCAGATTAGCTATCACTGTGGAGTAGAAGGTGGCTGGAATGAGACTTGGGAAGGCTCCTGTGGGTCCCAGAGGCAGGCAGAGCTGGAGCACAATGGTTATATGGCAGGTGAAACAACAGTGGCTTGGACAACACGGTGAGGACCAGACTCAAGGGCCTTCTGCTAGGTGTGGTGAGCAGAAGGCAGGCAGCTGTGTTACTCTTCTGTCCCAGACAACAGGAAAACTCCTCTCTTTGAGGAAATATTTCCTCTACTCTTTGTTATTTGGTGCCCGTTTCTTGAACAAGAATTTACTTAGGAAAGACACAGCTCACAACTGCAATCGTCCTAAGCCAAACAAAATCTCAGAATTCACAATTTATTCAAATAGCTCTCCCAGTGTATAGTTCACACTACAGCTCTTCTGAGCCCTTGACTACTTCAGACAATAAGACAGAAGTCTGAGACAGTGCACATGTCTAGGTCAGTAGACAGAAGGATGGATTTTCAATTTTTTAAAAATTTAATGCCAACTAGATTGAGCACAGATTCACTTTTCCCAAAAAAACAAAACAAAAATGAAACACTGAGAAGCTGAAACATTTCACCTCAAAAAAAACTTGTGGTGTTTTTTACTTTTTTTTTTTTTTTTTTAAGACTCAATAAAAATATGGACTAAAAGCAAAATGAAACTTTTTTTTGCAGATTCCATGAAATATTTTAATCAGTCTTAAATTTATGGTGTCTTATTCTCAGTTCACAAAGCAATAATTTTTATTCTTGTGCCAGGTCACTTTGTTCCCTTCCATGCTCCCAGTTTTCAGTAAGTGAATTGAAAATAAAGAAATAGATGTATAAAATGAACAGTCTACACATCATTACTGTTGACTGATTTACCTAAGCTGTTAAAACAGATAAGAGGGCATTGGATTTTAGTTTGGAAATCATGGGAACAGCTATTCAGCCTGTCCATATTCAGGACAGCACAGGAACATGCTTATCTTGGAGTAAATGTTAAGGTCTCCTTGACTTCAAAGTGCCTCTATAACAGTGCCATCAGCCCTTGAGATTGTATCAGTGCCACAGGAATAGTTGATGTGCATTTTAAAGCTCCTGCAGGAATAAGCAATCCCAGGAATGACACTTTTGGCTCACCTGCTACTGAGCCAACACTTCCCTTGGCTGGGCACTGCTTGGACCCTTGGCAAATCAGGAAAGCTCAGCCCAGAACTCAAGGGAACTATGTCCATCTAAACCTAGGGATTCAAGAGGCTGCCTATCAAATTCCTTAATTTTAAATTACAGTTGTTTTTAACTGCATCTATGATTGTGAGGGAAGGGTCTAACCCACGACTTCTGAAACACATTGTTTTCACTGATGTGCCTTAACACTAGTCCTGACAGTTTCTCCAGTGGAGCTTGGAACCTGAGCACAACATACTCGCTCCCTTGGCTTCCTTAAGGACATGGTAGCAATAAGCGTTCATTATATTCTGCTTGACAGTCTAAATTTAACTATTTAGAGGGGAATATCTGTTTGTTTCTGACTGCAAGTTGCTTCTCATGCTAGCATTACCTCAAGTCTTACTTTTAAGTTAAGAAATTCTGACTGTGAAGCTACGTAACGTTTCAAACAATCATGTATATATAACTGTAACTAAACACCTACACATATGCAAAATAAAGTCCATGTTTCAAAGTGCATTATATTAATGCATATAATTTGAATTAACTATTATTTCAGCAATTCTGTAAATCCCTTTGAAAGGATCTGTTGCTTGTTGATTTTGCACCATGTGAAGACATGGTAAATATGACATGTAGTTTCATCACATGAATTATGCATTCTGCATCTCAAATAAGCAGGTTCTGCTCCAGGGAGATGCTTAATCCATTCCTTCCTTCTGGGGATGAAAGAAATTAAACTCAGTGCACTGATCTCACAGTATGTGCTCATTTGACTTTAATTATAAAATGCTTATTTCAACATTTTTTCCTGTAAAATAAACCAAGCCTGAGCTCCATGTAACCTCTACAGAATTACATTACTTCTCTGTGCACTCAGTCAGTGCTCATCAATACTGCTCTTTCAATACAGTTTCACATGGAAGGGTAAAGCCCACCTCCAGAGGTTTGCAGCTGGTACAGCAGTTTCAGGCCTTGCAGCAACAAAAACTCGCCTTTTTGATAGCTGCCAAAAGGATGGAACAGTGAAACCCTTTAAAGTGAATTCAAATGTCATGAGAAGGAACTTTCACCAGACACAGGGAGATGCCACGATCCCATTACCAAGCTGGAAGATTTACACCTCACATTCTGTGTATTTTCACTAGTATTTTTTTTCACAGACTGTCCAAACCTGTGCAAAACTCTGCATAACAATCATTTACCTAGCTAAAACCAGAAGTTTTCCCTTGCCTAATTCAACAGGCAGAGCATTCCTTGGGAATAGAACATCTGCTGTCCATGTCTTAGGAATGACAGAGCATCAAGTGGAATAGACAGCTGTACTGTCAAAGGTACTCCCATACTTCAAGCTTGAAAAACTAGCAGTTCAGAAATGTGATGTGTTATCAGGCATACCATCTGGGGGAAGAGAAATGAATGCTTTCCATATAGGATAAAATCTCCATGTAAGGATTACTGACAGTAACTCCAGCTGACATGTTCCCACCCAGGTCCAGCAGAATTTACTGGGTTCACTGCACCACACCTTCCAACTCAAAAGCTATTTGGAGCTGACCTACATAATGTCAGAAGGGTGATCCTGCTCCCAAGCAAAAGCAGCTGTTCTGCTTCTGGTCTTGTACTAATTAATGCTACTAGTTAATAGTGAACTTCCTATTGCCAAACAAAGCTGGCTAGCTGGGATGCTTCTGTACCTCTGCCAAGCCTAATCCATAACGTGAATAAAATGCTCACACACAAGCAAGAATAGAAGCTATTCACAAGGTGCTATCTCACATACAAAACATGGTGTCAAGTGATGTAAACGTTTATAGGTTATTTTCAGAAACTTCAGTCAACTCCTAAATGTTCAAGTTAATTCTCAAAATAATGCTTAGTTTTGCAACGCCTTTTGTGTATCTAAACCCACAATATCCATTGTGTTACAATGAGAATTTGCTAAGGCATGAATAATTTTAAATATAATTTTTTGAAATATCCAACCAGCTCAATCTCATTTATTCTTTGGAGGTCCTAAGGTCTAGAGATGGAACAAGGCATTTGGATAAATGTCATCACTATATTAAAAGCTGAAGAATATACATAAGCACAGATCAGCTGTTTTCAGAACACCTGAAATACAGCAAAGCACATCTCACCAAACACTTGTATTATCTCCCCGAATTAACTGTGACTTATGCAAAGCACACAGTAAAAGTTTATCCGCAATGCTGTCAAAAACTCCAGAACGTGCATAAAAATTGTAAAAAAATCAAAATAAATGGCAATTAGTCATGATGACTATTACTCTACACTTGAAATTCCTAATCTTATCAGATACTCTGAAGAAAAATTGTACCAGTACATTTTCATCAAACTTTCTCTTTAAAGAACACAAGCGAAAACCATCAGGAGTCCTCAAAATGTCATGTGAAACCACAAACTTCTGCCTGTCTCAAACCTCTTAAGTGTTTTAAACCAGCTTAAGTGTTTTATAAATACAGTAATGACACTATAAATGATAACTACTAAGATCACAGCAAAAAAACCCAAAAGGTTGAATACTTTCAAGGCCAAAAATATTACTGACCTATGAGCTACAGCATTACCTGAAAAGCACCATATGGAGGTCTTCATTCAGTTTGAAGAACAATGAATATCAATTTGTATTGACTTGTATAAAAAAGACCTGGTTGATGTTTGTATAATTAAATATTTTCTTAGAAGAATAACTGCACACTGGATGCTGTACTTGTGTCTTTTCACAATGGTTACGATCCTTATGATTCTATCATAAAAATAACAATTTTTAAATCCCTATGGTGTTTTCAAGAATGAACACAAATGTTCATTATAAGCAATACTAAATAAGGCAGCTTGCTCTCTCTGATGCATAGAAACATGCACACAAAGCATCTACAAAATGTCCTTTGGCTGTTCACTACAGCTGTTGGGATGAAATCTGAGCCTAGCAGTGGCAAGGTCTGAGCTCCATCCTCCATCCACAGACTCTCTGTGGGCTGTGTGTCTTTGTTCAATAACAAAGCCACTTAGCACAGGCAATATTAACCATTAGAGGGTGGGTGACATGATCTCACATCTGCTGATTTCTATTACAATACATCTTCCCTTCGAGTCAGAGGTTACTGTGCTTGAGGTGAGAACAGTAACATCAGTAATTCCACCTGAGTGCACCCTAGGTCAGCATTCATTTGTTTTCATTAAAAGGTCTCTAAAATACTACTTGAGGTGAAAATCCCTTTAGATTGCTCGTAATATGTATGTCAAACTTGTACGTATATCAGACTTGTCTGAAGTAATTAGAAGAGACACAGGTGGAAAGATCACTTTAACTAACCATTGATCTAATGGTCCAGCTTTGTGCGATGCAATGACACAAAGGACAAGGATGGACAAGCATTTCTGCATGTGGCAGAAAATCACATGAAGACAAGAACTCTGGCAGAGTGTTTCTCTGTTAGATTTCTGAGCCTGGCTGATGAGTACTGGAAAATATGAGCTAATCTCCCTCTAGTATCGAAACCAGATAGCAAAGAGCAGATTTCAGAGGGTCTGAAAATATATGAGCCTCTGATGAAAAGGTTGTTATGCTCAGCGTCTCAAATCTGCTGCGAAACACAGAGATATGGGGATATTCTTCACAGCAAAAGCTTGAGGCAACCTAACTGTGGGAACTTCTTACAGCTCTCTTGGAACTTTCCTTATAAAGTTGCTTGATAGCAACTGTAATACATTTGCTTTTTATAACTAGTTGAATTTTGATTAGTATTACCTTGCTGTTCAAAAACAAGTTAGGTGTTACAAAAAGCAAAGCAAGTCTTACCTGGAATACTCTGTCTCCTCACAGACAGTGCTCCATCAGGTGCCTTTGCCTGGTTTGCAGATTTTGTGTAAGGACTCTCATCTAAACAGAAACAAGCAACACCTCCAGTTACTGTTAAATATAATGTTAAATCCAACATTTTTTTATCCAGATACTGTATGAACTAGCAGAGCAGATTGCAAGAGATGCTGTGAGCCAGATGAAGATGGGTATTTCTAAATGCTGAGTCAATGCTCAATGTCATGTTTAGGCTCGATGACAAAGGCTCTGAATAGGAGAGCTGAAAAGGATGTGCCAAAACTCAGACTGGAGGTAACACATATTGATGACAGGCCTGATATACAAAGGCTTTTTCAGGTTCAATATAGTGATAGAAATTGTCCTTTTCTCGTGTTTAGAAGCTTCGTGTGTCAAAGACTTGAATGGCAGAGGCACTGTCCCTGCTCAGGCGTAAAAGGCTTCCAGAAGCTTTTGAATATTCTGTCTGGGAAGATGCACTCCTTTTCCTTTAGGATCTGTCAGTGGGTGATTCCTTTTCCTTTGTAACAAATGACTGGGGAAAACATCAGAAAGCTGTTGCCAAACAGGCCAGGCACATTTGTGCCTCAAGAACAGCACTGTACCTGTCTAAATAGGAAGCTATGTGGAACACCTACTGATCAACTTCAGTGTATAAAAGACCACTAATAGTGGGATGAGCAGATGAGTCACCAGTTAGAGACAGCATTAGGCAGAAAAGTGAGTCACTTCTACATCCCTCTTAAGAGCAGAATGATGGTAAGGAAAAAAATCAACTATATTGTAGCTTTGAAAAGGACAAGCTATAAGTGCAGGAAAGAAATGTGAATAAAAGAAGAAATAGTATATGCATTTTATCATTTCAATCAAAAGAAGACTCAGAAGAAATCAGGCTTCTGCCTTGCCCTCCCTTTAATTGAGTGCTCAAAGACTTTGAAGTGTCACAAATCTTTCTGTTTGCATATTTTCCTTCAGATTGCAAATGACTGATGCATTTATAGCATGTGCATGAGTACATGCTTAAATACTGATCAATGAGTAGAGGAATCAAAGACTACATTATCTCTTATAGCATCCTCAGATCAAACAGAACCATATAAACTTTTTCTGGAGGACCATCTTTTCAGCTGACACTCTTGACAGTATAATCCTTCTTTGCTGATTGCACTCTTTACATCTGGTGAGGTCTCAAACTCCTTTAGAAACTTGCATCAAAGACAGCAGTCTGTTTTTATACCAGTGAGATAAGGGTTTGGCTAGCATAATTTAATTTAAAATCAGGTCTCAAAGAAGTGACTGAAAGAGCTGGTTATCCTATAGAACCAGAACTTCTGTAATGAAGTCTGCTACCGTTAGGCAGTTGCAACAACAAAAAGCTTAAATTAGTTAAAAAGGAAAAAAAAAAAAAAGGAAAAGGCAAAATAATTATTTATAGCCACGAACCTTGATGAAAATACAGCAACTAGTGAAGAACATGTATTGGTAAAGTAGCACAACAGCCAATATAATTGTGTTTTCTACAGTAAAATGAACTGCAATTGTTTTAGGACTACAATGTTACAAGTGGAAGATTAACAGGCTTGATTATGCTACACGCTAGTACAAACACCAGGAAAATAAAGCTGCCAGATACAGGAAATAGAGAAGCATGGAAAAAATATTAACATGGAGCTAGGTACATAATTTAAGAAAAAGATATGTAAAGCCTTATCCTTCCATTTGAGGTAAGTTGATAAGCTAATATTATTGCATATGTAGAATATACACCCCCTCATTAAAGAAAAAAAAAATATAGTAAGACTGAACTAAAGCTTCCGAAAGAAGTAGCATTTATATTTTTTTTTCTTTCACAGCAGAAGCACCACTGAGCTTGAACTCAAGGCTGAAGACAAAGAAAGTGAACATGTGACTTAAATGTCCTATACATTACTACTTAGTTGCAGCTGCTGAACATGACAGCAGATAGTGTGAGTCACACACATTTTTCTATTAAAAAGTGGGCAGGAAACAATACAATTTCTCTATAACTGATGGATAGTGATGACTTCTGGGCTCTATTTGACTGTATGCTCTACCTGGGAAAAATCTATTTACAGAACAAAACAGTCCTTTCCAAGTCAGACTTCTTGCAAATTATTGTCATCAGATTGAGGGAGAGGAAAAAAGGAAAGAAGAATTTTCACTACTAGACTTTTTCCACTGAATCTTTGTCATGGAGCTAATGAGTAAATCTCCACTCTCATGCTGGATGATTTTCCCAATATTGCACTGGACTAGGAGCACCTGTGGTTATTCTGAGTCCAGAACACAGAACAAGTCTGCAAATCTTTCTGGTTAACATCACCAATGAGAGGAGGGGACTGCACATTCAAATACTTACTAGGGAGCCTGAGCAAAAATGTTTTGTACATAATAACTGGTAGATGTGAAAGTAACTAAGACTACACAGGTGAGTAAGCTAGTATTTTAATTGAAGCCTATTATACCTGAAAGTTTATATGGGGTGGGTACTGTAGGCATGAAATTGCATTACATTTCTTAATCAGCTCACAGATTCTTGTAGCAAAACAAAGGGTCCAAAAAGTTTCTTCATAAACTTCTGAAACCCCATAAATGCAAAATATACCCTATTATTATTGGGAAAGAACAATGAGCCATCAGTGGACTTGTAAGCTGCTCTCAGGACTGGAAAGAATTTTCTTCCAATGCCCTTTTAACAGTAAAATCAGACTGAAACATAACTAGAAATAGGTATGAAGGACTCCAAGAAGCAAAGGACAACAAACACAACCAACTGTACAAAGAGTTCCTATTGAGTCTTACTGAGATGCTTAACTGAGACAGGAAAGAGCAAAATAAAGATCAGACAAATGCAGAAACACATGTCACCCTAAAGAAGACAGAGAGACAAGGAAGTCCTGAGAGCCCTGAAATGTCAGACACCATTCATGGTGCCCCAAATGAAAAAATCTGTTTGTACGTACTAACGAAGTTGCATGAGCAGCCACAAGTATTTATCATCAAATTAAAATTTCTTTATGCTTTTATCCACTCTGTAGTTAGCAGGGAGTGTCTTAAAAATGCAAAAATGTCTTATGACAGCACTGCCTAGGGGGATTTGTAGGAGAGTTTTGTATTACCAGCAATGAGAGACTTGGAGATGAAACTCAATTCAGCAAACCAACACACAGAAAAAGCAAAGGGGCAAAAGGATATGAAGCATTCCCTGCCTCCAGAGAGGAGATAATAACTCAGTATCAGGAAAAACTGTGATGTATTTCAAGACACCACACATACAAAGAAGAGGGAGAAACAGGCTAGATTCAGAAACATAAATCTCACCTATTTACACCCCTAGAAGTAGCATATCATCAGCAGGCAGTGAGCCACAGTCCATAAGGAACTCACAGGCCAAACTGCATCGCCCAAAGCACAGCAATGCCTTCCCCTGGACACACAGCTGCAAACCCTGCCACTCTGCATGGACTCTAGTCTGCTTGTGAAGGAACGCTCCACAGGTGGCCACATTCCCTACCAGCTTAGCTACACCCATCCACTTGTGCAGCTGCCTTTGATACACTGCTGGCTTTTTTTCCTCTCATAATTCCCTCTGGCTAAAAAATCAGACAACTTAGAGTAAACAATTTCAGCTTGTCAGTAGGTCGCACAAAGGTGTCGGCTGTGCCAGCAGATCTCTTCACTCAGTGCCTACAGGAAACCAACCCTCTTACGCTGTTAAGAGGCAGGGGTCATTTCCACCAAATTCATACTTTGCATGTTTCTTACAGTTGTAAATGTGCAATAGTGAAAGATGGACACTGTGTTAATTCATTCCTTCTTGGCAGAACACAAGTGATAATCTCAGAGGTGACACCTTGCAGATTATTTGGATTCTTAACCAGCAAAACAAAATTACCTTTTTGTCTTCTCCTTTTACTTGTCCTCATGAAACAGTCCTGAATACCAGTAACAGGAGCTTACACATCACCCTTTCAAAGCCCTGTATACCATTAAATACTACAAAGATAATATTCAAGTGGACACGCAAGTCCTACTGCTTACAGCTATTACTGTAGGTTTATTGCCTTTTGCTTGTGTGGTAGATAATTTCCTTCCTATTTTTAACCTGATGGCACCTCTATCCTGTAACTGAATGATTCATTCACTGAGTTAGGGACCATGCTGTGACCTATTTATATCATTCTGCATTGCTTTTAATATACAGGTGTGGGGTATCTGTCCAAGACTAACGGCTCTAAAGAACAAGAAGAAAGAACAGAGATGTAACCCCAGAAAGATTACACATGAGACAATGTAATACATATCTGAAGTGCCTGGTACTGTGTCAGCAAAATGACCATATGACATCATTAGATATTTGCTGTATTTAGTTTAACATCCTTTGAAGGATACCAACTGGAGGAACACAAGATGGAATAAAAGGAAGGCCTAAAGATATTTCCTCAACAGTCAAGTCTAGACATTCAATGCTTCAGGCAGTTTATGACCACTGAACCATTCTTGTGTCTCTCTTGGGGGCTGTGAAAGCTATTGACACAGATGTTGTTTACAGATGTGGTAAAGGCCAAGGGCACTCCCTCCTTCAAGTCTTCAAAAGGGGTTAGAGGATGTTTTCTTCACTGTTGCTGCCATGCATGTCCATGTGATAACTGCTGAACATAGTACCTGTGTCCAAATCCTGTGCAGCACCAGGTGGCCCCAGAAGGTGACTAAGCACAGCTACATGCTGTTTCATACAAAGGGGAAGCTTCTTCCCACCCCACTGGGAACAACTCCTGAACAACTCTGAGGCTGTCACTGTGCCCCTCCCACATGGCCCCCTACATGTGAAGATGCTTCACTTGTTCTCGGCTCTATGTCACCATTTGTACCTGCTTTTCTACTACAAAACCTGCATTAGAGGGAGCAGGTGAATAATGTGGCATCAAGTTTGTACATGAGGAATTTCAAACACAGGGATTTTCTAATATTTAGGAGCTTGAAAGCTGTACTAAATATTTTCAACAGTAGATGTGAAAGCATTATGAAGGAGAACAGAGTTT